GACTTTCTTTCCATACATGGAGGGCACTAAACTTGGAAAAGGTGGCCTCTGCCACTGAAAGAGTCCAAGAGGTAGCACCCATAAATTAAATCTGCGATGGCTCCTCATGTACTCGGTTAGCTGACTTAATCACATTTCCTTGACTCAGCAGCAGCCTCCTTTAGAACACTGAGCAGCCTACTCTCAATACTAACACAGTTTAAACATTTTTTAGCTTTAATCTATGCAGTGGTTTTATACAATATTAAATTGCTGGATGAAGCTTATTTTTAACACATATATTTAATAAAATAAAGAAAAAATGTTTACGTATGGCCTTTTTTCTTTTATTCTTTTATGTGATTCTGAATGGCTGCCATCTCTACAACTGCAGTACTGAGCCCTTTTTAACACCTGTTGTTATGTGTTCATCTGTTGCAATCCCAAATTAGGAGCAGAAGGAATGAGGCCTTTGCAGCATAAGGTGTGTGACGCTTTTAACCTTTCTAAAACTGTCGTCCACAATAGTGAATAAAGATTTTAATGTTTAAATTGTTTCTTTATCTTTTCAGGAAGGTGCTGGATTCCTGAAAGAACATGTATATATGGCCAAAGGGTTGTTGCCTGTGGCCTCTTGCCGAGTGTTACCCGGTGTTATGATGAACAATTGTTGTCGCTTTATGCCTTTATTGTTCATTTCATTATATTAAGTCCATATCCATGTCCACAATCAGCTTTTTCCCCAACCATATTGTCACAGTTCCTCCCCAGTTCATCAGTCTGACAGTCTAACTAGGGGTACACCATGAATTTTACAACATGATTTTACTGTTCCTCATAGGAGAACTGAATATAACATCTACGTGTTTATATCAATAAATAATTTAATTTCTGGTTTTGTTTTTTCAATACAGTGTGTTCTTTAAATTGAAGTCTCCAGCAGAAGTAATGCAAAGGCTACTATTGTGTACAAAAAGTTACATACAGAATATAGAATGAATGAAGTTGAATGACAAATTAATGTTTACTTGGGTTTAAATCAAATCTTCTTTAAAGGAAATTCCTGTTTTTCTTAGAATTACCACCAAATTTAAATGATCTTTTCATCATAAAAGGATACCAAGATAAAACATGCATTAACACTGTTTCAGAAACTGTTTTGAAACCATTCTGATAAGATTAAGAGGCCACGCTAGCACAGAAAAGTACTGTATTTTCAAATTGATTTAATTACTTTCCACTAGAGTTTTTACTCAGCTGCTGAATGAATGAAGCCCTGTTGGCAGCAGACCAGTGAAAATCTGGAGACAGCAGCACTATTCATTTGGCTCATACAGACCCAAGAGTACATCACAGTATGCCAGGACTTCCATAATAATAATACCAGTCTATAATACTGATCTTGTAACTATCTGGTCTTGGAGTTACTCGCATAGTGATACGGGGCAGGATGCCAGAGATATCCAGGTTACAGAGACACATGGGTTCACACAGAGGCTGACAAAATTAGCCTCAGTGCTCCATCTTGCTCAGGCTATTTTGGGAACAAGAGGCCCAACCGGCAAAATGTGGTTTTCCTGTTTCCTTATAAAACCAATGGAAAATAAATGCAGACAGAAATGAGGAAATGCCATCATTATCTACATTTAAAAGAATCAAAAACGCAGTTTCTCTCCCACACATGATGTGTTGAGGTTGTATTAACCAGCTTTTAGACAAGAATAATGTTTTACAGTTGTACTCATCCTGACTATTGCTGTGTATATATAATGAGGAAGTGTGTAAAAGGTGTGCTGCATAATGAGTGACCCAGCTCTGCAGTTGGAGTCTGAGTCTTTGAGTTTGCCGTCCTCTAGTGTTACAATTGAGGAATGACATCTGCATGCCTTCTGAAAGTGGGAGGGTTGAAAGAGCCATTTACCTCCACATCAGAACAAATGAACAGGTGGAATTCAGTGATCAAGAAAGAACAACACAGTTAACATTTGCTTTACAATTCTTTGAAGAGATATCTGCTGTTTTGAGCCACCAACTTTCACAATTTATACGTCGTGCAGCTTTAACCTGTGGGCTGGGAGCCATAATGGGTCTTAGGCCTACTTCTGGTGGGTCCCTGGATGCTGACATGCTGCAATAGGGTCATGGAGCAAGAGACTTCCTGTCTAATTTAAGTTCTGCACTGAGAAGGTTTCAAGCGTCAAATGAAAACCGTTATTAAAACACTGATGTAATAATAATTGTATATATTAATGTTTGAATGTCTATAATTATTTGGTTATTTTTTTAAATCAGTTTCTTTTTTGTGGTTAGAGTTTAATTCGGGCAAATATCATTTAAGCAAAATTGGTCTTTTAGCTGTGCTAGCAGAATGTCTCTGGGGATGCTGGTCTGTCAGTGAGTCAGTCCACTAGTCTTGACTATAGGCTGAATTGGGATACATTTTACACACAGATTAATGGTCCCCAGGCAAAGTATCCTATTGACTTTGGTGACAGGTGCAGGTCTAGAGGGGTGGCATGGGGTTGTAGTGGCCAAATAATTATTTTAGATTAATTTCATAAATAATGTGTAAAAAAATGGAAATTGACAAATAAGTATTTGGTAAAATCTCTGTTCTATCTATGTCTAATTTGGAAATAAAACACCTTTAGATATTTCTATTCCCTGCTTTCCTAATGTGCCTTAATAATGTGATGTTTTTTAGTTAAAATATCTTCATTTGGAGGCTTTTCCAAGCAAATATTGATTCAATCAGCCCATATTTCTGCCACCCCTTAAAATCTTCATGCCCACCCTATGAATGCTTTTCTAGATCCATCCCTGACTTGGTGATCCTCTAGCACCACCCTGAAGTTTCCCTTAGTCCTACTATTGAATGTACTGACATTAAATCTGGTACACACATCTGGTATCTAGTATCTAGTATTTATGCCTCCCTCAGGATGAATAATAATAACTTGACCCTCTGACTTTCCATCCAATACCATCTGCAGAGCAAGTTTCAGTACTGTGATTTATAACTAAATACCTGGACATTAATGATACTCCCATCAGCCTCAGCTGTGCTTTGTGTTTAGAGCCAATTAGCAAATGTTAGCATGTCATTCTCATTTGGCTCCCTCATAGAGCAGCAAGCTGTATTCTTGTTGTCAGACTGGTTTCACAATTCCATTTTCATTTACGTTTGAGGCTCATTAGACTCCCTGGTTCACCTTTATGAATGCAGACCGACACAGCTGCTTCAGGCTCACATGCTGAATTATCTCTGTGTCTCTGTTTCATCTATTAAGATTTATTGCCAAGTCCAGCACAAGGCAATCATACAATATCCTGTGGCTGAATAATTGGATCCCATGAAAACTTTTTTCTCTCCCTCACTTCCCCCTCAAGGAATAGAAGCAAATAACCACAGTGGGATGGTAAGTTCATAAAAAGGCAGGATGCTGTAGCGATGCAGCATCTCTGACTCATCTGGTCGTGTTGCTCTAATCGTTGGTAATGCACTGAGCACTGCCTGGTTGCTGCTATGTCAAGGGTAACGCCAAAGGCAATGAAATGGTGTGTCCTCCTTGAAAGAAAGCCTGCCTGCTATTTGCTGCAGAGGTTTTGGCAACGTTCCCAGAAGGTTTAATAAGTGTAATGGTGAAACTGGCACTCACACCACTGTCCTCTCGTTGCTTTTCATTAACAAATGTTGCACTGCTAAATCAGCTGGATAGACTGTCTGAGGACACTTTTTATTTGAAGATTTATTTAGGACTTGGGCAGTTACGGCGGTATGAGGATGTGATACTTTTTTACAGTTTAAAGCATTCTTTCCTAATGTCCCTGATATCTCTTATTCGCAGTCTTGTGATAATATCTCAAATATATTGAAATGTTCTGATTAATGCTGCTTCACTGTGTCTGAAGTAAACAGTGATTCTCACAAACCGGCCGTATTGAATGGATTTCCCTGGAGAAACCTGCAGTGGCATTGTGATGCAGCTTTGCTCAGCTGTCCAATGTAGGAAATCAGGTAGTATATTGATTTCAGATGGCAGAGACTTCATTAAGTCAATTTAATTCAATTTGAAGAAAATGAATTGTTGAGTGGGAAGGAAATTAAAAAGCAAAGACAGCTCAAATGTTCAGACATGTATGTTTAGCCTTTTTTCCCCCTTGTTATACATTACTGGACATGGATAATCCTAGAAGAAATGCTCATGAAGCATGTCAAATATCAATGTTTTGCCTGCAGACAGCATCATGCTAAATTTAATCCTTTTCTACAACATACAGTTTGACTCCTGCTTGACTTTCACATTTTTTGTTTAATTAAATGACTCTATAATCTCTGTCTCCTTAATGAGGCAGCAGCAGTGATCTGTGTCAGTCCTGCAGCTCATCCCACCTTCTGCTCTTTTAAATTATTCACAAGTTACATGCTAGATGCCTGTAAACAAGGAAGGGAGGAACTAGTCGCCTTTTTATGTTGCTGCTGCGGAGTCTGCTGGAGCTTCACATCAACTGCTGCTAGAAAAAAAAAAAAAAAAAAAAAAGGAAAAACAACAACTTCCCATCTGTGTTCTGCCTGCCTCTATACTGCAGCAAAACCAGCCTGAGCCGACCGGTAACACCCCCTCACCCACCCCTCTCCTTCTATCCTCTCTGGTCCTCACAGCTCATTGCACTCAGGTTCCTGCAGAGTTCCTGCAGCAGGGAGACAGGACCTGAAAGCATGCTCTGTGAGCGCCGCTGCAGACTGCTGGTTACCATCTTCACCTTTCCTTTCACCACTCATCGATTCCCGTGCTTTTGCACTGCCCTCCCTCCCTTCCCTTTCCCCCTGCGTCTAAATCTCAAAGCTCAGCACTCCCTGTATGCCTGTACTGAGGAAAAAAAGTGATGGAGCAAGAAAGAAAAGAGGAGGAGCACAGTTGTTAGTGCGCCACAGAAAATCTCACTCCCCCCCCTCCCCTACCCAATTGATGACAAGGAGGGTTTTTATTGAGCAGCTCCTCAGCCAATGAGAGAACAGTGCCGGGAAATACAGCAGTGGAACTGCACCGGCTCTGATGCTTGTGCTGATTTCAGTGTGTTAGAACAATGTTAATCTGTATGAGTGTTTCTTCTCCCCTCTGCCCGATCTGAGTACAGCAGATCATCTTCAGCAGCACCTTTATCCAAGGGAACTCTTGTTTGAGGGTGTCCTGCTTCTTGGACAGAAACACCCCCAGGTGAAACTGGGACCTTCCAGCACTGGGTGGTTTTGAGATGTCTTTTGAGAGTGGGATGAACCACAGTGCAGATTGTTAAGATTTTTTTTCTTCCTGTCAAGAGCATATCTGACCCTGTTCTCTGCTTCCACTCCTTCTTTAGGAGGCAGCACTTCTCTTTTAAAGGTAAGCAGCATTTCTTCCTCTCTGTTCAAGACAGCATCATCAGTTACTGGGGCTTTGCTGCGTGCCAGGTTGTCACAGAGGCACCTAGCCTCATTACACACATCCTGCCTGAATGTGGAGGAAAAAAAGCTCTGCAGAGAGAAAGAAAGAGAGAATAAATGGCTCAGGGGTAATTAGAGCAGACAGTGTTAGCGTTTTGCCAGTCGCCTCTCATTTTAATGCAGGGAGTCAAGTGATATTAAATCTGCCAGAGGAGAACTTTTACAGCATGCCGGTAAGTCCTCATGCCTGGTGCGTAGCATCATGTAGTGCTGCAGTATAATCTTACATATCACAAACAAATGTGTGAGAGTAGAACTTGAGATGGGAATTAATTGCACTATAGAGAGAACACTAAAACCACGTCTCATTGGTTGTTTATAATCTAGCTGTGTAGATTAAAGTTGACAAATATTTGATTTGTTATATAGAGGGATTAGCATTTTCCTGAGCAAGAAAATAAGTAGATAAAAAATAAGTAGTTTTAAGCCTGATTTTCGTTTCTTTCCATCTGCATTTCTTCACTGGGGCATTTTTTTTACAGTGTGTCAGCCTTAAAATGGGTGATGATAACGAGAGTCAGCTCAATGTTACAGTAAATGCTCTAAGGGAGTGTGTGCAAAGTCAAATCTGCTGAGCCAGCAAGAGTGAAGGGCCCACGCAAGACTCTGCAGAGCTCACTGTGTTTGTAGGAATCTGTGTCACACTATTAGCTCTTAAACCAATGAATTTATGCCAAAACCACTGCAACCTTTTCTTGAAATGCCTTTTATTAAAATACCCCTTCACCGACTGTAGTGGAAGGAGGTGGAAGATCTCTCATTAACGTGCATTTGATTTTGCGCATTACATCCTCTGATGGACACTGATTACATTGTAGCTTGAAATTCCTTTCATTGTCTCATCATTTCGGCAGCACATTCTCTTTATTAGGCCTCACAGACATTTCCCATGTGGATATTTCTGTTTTTCCTATCAACTAGGAATATTTTCAGCCACCGATTTGGGTGAATGATCTTTGTTGGTACTGTATGTTCCTGGGCTGATTATGATGCAGTGGTGTGAACAGGTCAGGTGATGCAGTGGGTTCTTAAGTCCCCAGGGGTGTTATGAGTACATGACTGGGACACTCCTGAGTGTGTGAGCCAAATGAGGACTTCCTTTTGGCATCAGCAGAGGTGGATGGAGGGGTGTGTAGCAGCAGTATGTCTGTACTCACACACACACACACACACACACACACACACACACACACACACACACCCACATACTGACACACGCAGCTTTCCCTGCCAACAATGTATGTACTTGCCTCAGTGCATTTTGTGCTGCAATAGATGTTGAACAGGTTCAGAGTAACATGCCTATACGGCAGATACTACGGTGGATGAAAAGGCATGTTTGACCTAAGAATAAAATAAGAAAGCAAGCTTACGCTCATATTTGTTTCCTTTCTGTTGTCTCCTTTAACTGTTAGGACAGTCATGATTAAGTTGCTAATGGGACTAATTAAAGGGGGTTAGTGAGAGCACAAGATTAATTGCAATTGAGTACAAAGCAGTAGCAGTACATTCTTAAAGATATGACAGGAAAGGAAGTCTTTTCTTGACAAACAATTGTTTATTACACACGAAGATTAAATATTTTTAAACCATCTGAAGGTAGCACGACTATGTAGAACATCATTTGTCACCTAAAGTTTTGTTTTCTTGCTGAATTTGCATTCAGCAGCACACTGAGAGAGGATTATTCATACTGCACAGTTTGCAGCCTGTGCTTGGTGTCTGGTGATGAAGTCAGCGTTACATCTCTCACATGAGATTATGTTATTGGGTGTCACTTTATAAGACTCATACAGTACTTAGATTACATTGCAAATATATGTACAAACACTTCTTTTTCAGCCGTGCTAGTAGTGTGGCTGTTGGGGGGTCGACATAACACATTGAACTGAAATATCTCCACCCCTATTGGATGGATTTCTATGAATGTCATACAGACATTGGTGGTTTCAGTAAGATGAATCCTGCTGGTGATCCTCTGATTTTTACTCTAGTGCCATCATGTTGTTGACATTTGTGGTTTTGAGTTAATTGTCCTGCATGCTAACACGCAAGATGGTAAGCATTACCTCTGCTAAACATAAACATGTTAGCGTTGATGTTGACGTCACCATTTAGCCACACAGAGCTGCTAGCATGGCTGTAGACTCTTGTTATTGTCTGTGTTCAGTATATGACCAAATGCATCAACAACAACAACAACAACCTCTGAGCCTAATTGTCTCCACCTAGGTTGGATCAATGATATTAAAGGTCCTGTGTGTAACATTTAGGAGGATCTATTGGCACAAATGGAATATAATATTCATAATTATGTTTTCATTAGTGTGTAATCACTAGCAAATAAGAATCGTTTTGTTTTGAACCTTGAATGGACAAACCAAACACTGGCTCTAGATAGGGCCGTTCATGTTTTTCACAAATTTGGCGAATTCATCCTCATGGTTGGAAAGGGAGGGTGAAACCATTGAGCTGTAATCTGCAGCTTCATCGCAAGATGCCACTAAATCCTACACACTGATCCTTTAATGGTTAATAAGAGCTTCCTGAACCTTCCAGTAGGTTTAGAAGGCATAATCCATACGTATGTGACAGAATGTGAGAACATCTTCAGTGGCTTGGTGAAATCAATTGACAGATTGACAAGTGTTTTATTTTAGGTTGTAGACAGTTGCATTACTTGCAGTAATCAGGAGGCCTGAGTTTTTACATTACAGGTACTCCTGAGGAGAGGTGATCATGCCTGGAGCACTTCTGCTGCTTGATGGTTCATGAAATGGGATTCTGTGCTGCAGCCTATAATTTTGCCCTCACTAAACCAAGATCCTCTTTCACAGGCTGTCAGGTGCATCAATGTACACGAAGCACACAGTTGATGTTTCTCATTTATACTCTACACACAGTCCTGTGTGTACTGTAGGTATACAGAGATACAAGTTCACAAAATAGCATTTGATGATGTTTTTCTGTTGAGAGATGTTTTGACATCTATCACAGACAGTTTTGTCAGGGGAGATGTTTTGTAGACTTTGAGAGCTTCCCTGTGAAAGTTGCTGAACTGATGTCTTTGCTGGTGCTGCAGTGCGTTTTCTGTCAGATGAATGACATCAGTACAACACTACTCTGCCCGAGGACACAATACAATAGATTTATTTTAAAGTTCGACCTGCCTAAAAAAGGAGATGTATCTTTATAGAGCTCAGGTATTGAACCTCTGGCCTTTCTTGCCCTAACTGCATTCAGGCTGTGAGTAATACATTCAACAAGCCATCAAACGCTGGCCAAGATTTTCGCTTTTTGGAGTCGGTTAGTGTATCCAAAAAGAAACAGATGTTGATCCTACAACTTCTGAGTCCCTGAGGAAAAGGTAGAAAAGATGCAGACTGGATTTGTCAGTATTGTTTATGGGCAGAGAAAAAGCTCTAATAAACTGACTGTACTCCACCATCACCAAATGACAGACAGATAAAGTTTGTGAGTAAACGAATTTACACAATGATACAAAATATAACATTATATGGTATTACCTTAGTGCATTGGTCTACCACTTGCTTTATTTACTTATGAAGCACATGACTGTAATGACTGTGACTGTTTGAGCCCAACCTCCGCAGTCTCATGCAGAGGAAGATCAATACCTTTCAGCAGATCAATTTTGAGTGCTTCATGGGTGAATTAATATATTTAAGTACCAGATTGAGCAGGAACAGTCACTACTGGCTATATGCTGTAATACTGTGAAGCTAATAGCTGAAGCTGATGTCAAAGCAGGTACAGGAACATTTTCACTTTTCAACTGAAGTACACACAGAATAAACAGCAGCATTTTCCCTAAAAGTTAAATTGAAAGCAGGGTACCATTTACAAGCCTGGTGTGGCAACATGTTTTGACAAATAAATGAAGGTCTCAATTAAAGGCCTGGTCTTAAGTTTATAGAAATTATTTAGATTTTTAAAACCTCTTAAAGCCCACCAGGTTGCCTGCTTGAGTGAGTTCTAAGACGTGTAGATTGCATTGTTTAAGCTGAAGTCAACATGGACATGCAACACATCATTAGATCAGTTAGATTTTGGACAATTCAGTCATTCAGTTCATTTTACAGAAACCATGAGCACCAACTGATCAAATGATCTTTGAAAAGGAATTAAAGGCCTTTCCCATACAGACACCTATTCTAAATAAAGGCAGCAAAAAAAAAAAAAAAAAAAGCCTGGACTATTAATTTTGAATTTGAATGTACTTAAATTGGCCATAACTGATGTTTTCAAAATGTATCAATATCACAATGTGAAAATATGTGTATAATGTGAGAGGCTTTATGGAGCTGTACATTTCAGCTCATTGTTCCACGTCATATAAAAACAAAAGGTGATCCCAACTAAATGCTGTCACAAGTCACTGTAGCTGTCACATAAGATTAGATAGAACTTAATTTATGCCAAGGGAAACAGCAGTTGCAGTACAAAGTAGGAAGAGCCAAATATAAAGATATGAATATATCAATAAGATGCAAATCCAAAATATACACAATACCAAAAATATAAACAGGTTAACTGTAAGGATCATTAATAAATGCAGTGGAATAAAAAAATATATATAAATATTTCCCTCTGAACTGAGGGGGTGAAGTATTAAGTAGCATACATGCTTTCAAATAAAGCACAAAAGAAGTATTTCCTCACATATTCTCTACCACTAAATATCACTCTAAAAGCATGCAATTACAGTAATACAGTACAGTTAATGTGCAGTTTTGATCAGCACTGAGACATAAATGCATACAGTGTACTGCAGGGGCGATGTTCTGTCATACATTCTGAATAGTGCATGAAGGCTATTTGTAAGTATGCAGAGCCATTTTACTGACGCTAGTAACCTCTGTAAAATAAAGAGTGTAT